TTTTGGGCCCTTTTGAGCGCTTTTGAGCGAAGTATGGCCAGGGCCTAAAATAACCAAAACACACTACTATAAAGAACGTGAGAGTATAAGGATGAGCTAAAGACGCTGAACTAACAAGGATGAAAAAGAGTTTGGAATGTGAAGTAAAAAAAGTGAAGTGTAAAGCAAGATTTTGGAGAGCTAAGAAAACTTACATGATATGTATATTGCGAATCGTGCTCGATCTGCTTCATGATAACGACGTCCTCATGCGGACCATGCACAGGTGAGCCTTGTTTGCTCGATGATGACTGCGTATTATCCTCTTCCACCTTTTCGGCAGTAGAGTTTTTTCTGCAGTTTAAATGACTTGAGATATGCAATTGGCCAAACAGCTGCAACACTCACAACGCAGGATTTTCTATCAGAGCTAAAAGCCGCCGCCGATACGCTCTACAGTACGCATTGAGGTGTCGTGCGCGAGTAAGAGCAAAGTGCCAAGAACGACGAGCTTGCGCTCGGCGTGTGTCCTCGCTTACTCGGTCGTAAGCGAATCGCCACCATTCTCCTGCACTAAAATTTCTTGATAAAAAAAGAGTCTACTAACTCAAAACTGTGTAATACGACCAAAAACCGCTCTCTTACTTTTCGCCAATTTTCGTCAACGGTCTCCACTTCCTATGTTGCCGTGCTCGCTCGAAACGAGCCCATTCTCGATTCAAAGCCCTTAGTTCGGCCATCTGTCTCCTTGTCATTTCTATGGTAATCTTTTCTGGTAGCAGGAAAAACTAAATGGTAAAAACTTGTTATTATGTTGATACATGAAGCAAGGGTATGGAACCCTACCTTAAACCTAGGAGTATGCCCTTTGAGCGGAAATTTGCTAGAATTCCGTTCCATTCTTAACTCAGCGCTACAAGGATGGATGATGAAAGCACTGCTAGGGTCTTCCGGAGCGAGTATGTCCTTCAAAAATTAAGAATTCTCAAATATGAGAATAATTTTGAATAATTGCAGAATCACCCGTAGATTCTTTGGCGTATCCAAGTGCTTCGATAATTTTTGATCCGAATTCCAATAG